AGCGGGGGCCATCATACTAACTGGACACTGGGAACCTGGGGCAACGTATAAAGACTCTCCTCCATTGGCGGTTTTCGTACGCCACAGCCACGGCTCGATGAGATTGGAGCGACTTCTGCTTATTAGTTCTGCCGACACAAATGGATTGGATTTGCGACATGTTCCAAGATGAAGGGTTCGCTTCGGAAGCTACCGGCGTATGACTGATAGAGAGGCGGAAAGATGGGGAAACTTGCGACTATACCTCTTGTTTTCTCGCGTCCGTCCCGCCATGTAAAGCATGGCATGGCCTAGATCTCGTAACGACCCACCATAGAATAGACTGGCGCGGGACTTGTATCCCGAATGCTCGGATCAAGACGATCATGCGCTCCTCTTTTCCCTTCTGTGCTCTTGTGAAGCCTCGTATGAGGCAGACATACCGATAGTGCGGTCAACGTTATGGGGTACCATGATCACTTTGGCAGCTTTAATGCGCCAAGCGCCGCCGAGAACATCCTTTCTGATCCAACCATCCCAGATAGAACACGATATGGCGCCCTTCGCAAGACCTCTGCGAATGGGAATCTCCAGGTCGGCTATATCTTCATCCATAGTGCCGGAAACGAAGCCTCAACTGGCATGATCTTGTCGTTCGACGGCACTTCCCCAGACTCCAGAAGCTAAAATCGGCGGAAACCACAGAGCGCTAATAGAAAGCTGAGAAAGGAGCATGATTCCGAAGAAGCATATTGTGTCGCGGGGATTCGGGACGTGCGTCACATGGGATATGACTGCCAGAGGAAACGAAACACGAGTCATGATGATGGGGAAGTCGCCGTCGCAAAAACCGACCTGTTGGCAATCCTGTGGATAATAGCCCCCCAGAAAGAACCGCCATCCTATCGGCACCTGTCCGACATTCAAGAGCGAAAAGAGCCGTATATATAAGCTTGGAGCTAGCTGGAAGCCGGGGAAGCCTTGGCTGGTGGTTTAAGAGGAAACCATTGAGCGCCACCGGAGAAAATATGGACAAAAACCGGGTGGCCGACCATTTCCACGAATTGCTTCTCACGGTGGCCTTTCGTAGGTTTGTTAGGTGCGGCTAAACGTTAATGAGTAGGCAATCAAGCTGGTGGATCTTGAAAAGGCGCGAATGAGCGGTGCCAAGCGGGATGGAGGTAAACCGGGGATGAAGCGTGATGTTGACGCCACTGGGCACCGAAGAGCTTCTGGAGGGCGAATCAGAGAACCAGAGAACCCCAGGCTTCTCCCCAGAAAGTTCGATAACTGGATTCTGGGGAAGAACCCCACGTTTTCGTCCGGGAACATCAGCGGCACTCGCCTCCTCCAGATGGAACTGTCTCCCCCACACAAGCAAGCCCCTCGAATGCGTTTAGCTCCAACTTCCCCGACCTTTGCGCCCCCCACAGATGCTCAATAGCGGTAGTGATGCTCGGTTCGTCGTTGTGAGGAGAAAGAGGGGAGGGGGATGCAGCGAGTCTCGGAAGCAGCTCCTGTGATATATAACAAGGGAGGTTGCCCCGACGGCGAACCTACTGGTGCCTCGATTGTCTGCTGATCTCCCTCGGTCAGCGCCATTGACCCCAGTGCAGACAGACGAAATCATGGCCATGATACGGCGCCAATTAGGGGAGCTAGTAGCAGTTTGTGCCAGTCGTAGTCCCCTTTCGATTGTATTTTCTTCATTGTCTAAGGTTCGTTCCCGTCCTACGCGTACAGATCAAACGCGTCGTCAGCAAAGAGCAGCCGGACCAGTTACCGTAGCAGCAACCCTATGGCGAGGTACCGGAGGTCCATGTAGAGCACGTGGCCGACCAGTCACTGGCGTCGGTGCTGACAGAACTACAGGAAGAGCTGTACAAGCTGTAGCGGGTCTAGGAACTGCCCTCTTCCCCCTGCCAGCCGAAGCGACCTATGCCA